ATACATCCATAGATTGAATTAGAAGTTGCTAAAGAATATAAAGAAGAAAAGAAGAATATTGGGTTTTTTCTAGAACAAAGGAAGTTCTTTATAAGAAGTTATGTTGTGTTGATGTTTGTTTGATATCGTTGGAAAAAGAAAAGTGCGCCAGAAAGAAAATTAAATTGTACAAGGACCATTACTGGACACACAATATGACTGAATACACAAGGAATACGTGAGGCTAAAAGCAGGAGAAATCGTATCAATTTTATTTCATTTTTATCTAATATTTAATTTTTAACTAAAATAAATTTTCTATAATTGTCAATATAAAAAAAATAATAAAATTTTGAAATAGATTGAAATTTTGATAATTGTAAAATTTATTATCAATAAATATTATAAAATCTTAACTTAAAAAAAGATTATAGAATACATATTTCTAAAGGTTATACTAAACCACGAAAATCACTATACAATCATTCAGAATTTCGAACAATAGTACTTAAACTAATCATGACTTGACGATTTTCATCAAGACTCGTTTCATACATACCAGAAATCCATTGCCTCATCTCCTATTGCTTCTCGATATTCGACAAAGCGTCACGCAAATTAAACCCAAAAGTGGGTCATTTATAGGCAACCATACGAATATCCTAGAAAGGGACATATAACGACATCTGGTATTTCTCTCAACGACGTTTTACGGAACGAAAATGTAGATCTGAGCTAAGATCCTTGATAAAGAGATTGTAGAGATGCACGACAAATTCGAGATGTAACGATGACCATGTTAAATTAACTTAAATTGTGTTCTGAATGGGGAGAGGGGGAGGGAAGAATATGCAGAAAGCGATGTTCTGAACAGTGTCACGAGGAAATTGCGTGGTTTTAGGATGTGACTTCTGCTAAATTTCAATCCAGTAGATATTTGGATTGATTTTAAAATGAGATGTAAGTCAATTACCTGAAAACTTTGACAATATTTGAGCAAAATAGGAATTTATTATTATAAATTCCTTAACTTATAAAACGTTATATATTTTTTAACAAGATTGTATAAAGTTCTCAATAAGAAAGTAAAAAATGTTTAATAAGAAAATTGGTTTATTTTTATATTTTTTCAAATATAATTGATTACAAATTGATAATCTCTAGCATATTTATCATATATATACCGTACATATATATATTCTTAATTTTTTTTTTTACACGCCAAATCATTTTCATTCCAAATCAAAATGAAGGATCAAAGTTTCTTAAGTAAGAAGAAAGAGGACAAGAATAGAATGAAAAAAAAAGAAGAAAAATATTGAAAAAAAAATGTAATGTTAGGAAAAAAAAAAAAGGAATTAAATTCCGCGATTGAAGATATGGGCGGAAATGCAGGTAATTTAAAATATCTCGTTACATGTGTACAAAAAAAATTACATTTGTAATGCCGCTTAATACTAGGTGCTTTCAATTCGAATTGGAAATTACTGGATGAAGTCTACTCGCCGGTGGACCGTGCAACGGCACATCAAGAATCCCAGTTATCTCTCCAACCTAACCTGAAACGATAAGAGGGACGTTTACGTAAATTTGTTAATAAAATTATCTTGGAAAAAAAAGAGGATTATTTGACCTTTTTTTCTCATTCTTTATTCTTTTTTTTTTCTTTTTTCGTCCCTTGGTCACAAGAGAAATTCATATTTAAAATTATTTTTTCATCTTCAGATTCATTTATTATTTTTTAAATGTAAAGAATTTAATCTTATCTTATCTTTTTATAAATCAATTCATTATTGTATTTAATTATATCATTTGAAGATTATTATTTTTGTTTAAAAGATGATGTTATAAATACTATCATCAATATATATCAAAAACAAAATTATCTTTTTATTATATATACATTTATGAATATTGATTCAAAAGGATAATAATATTGAATAATTTGATAATAATTGAATAAATTGTCTTAAATATATATGTATACCACATTCAAACTTTAGAAACTATATTTATAAATTAAATGAAATCTACACACACATATATATATGTATATCAATATTCATAAAATTAACATTACCATTAACTCTATTAAAAGATATGTTTCACATTCTTTTATTTCTTTTACCTTTGTAATTTTACAATTTTCTTTTCATTAAAAAAAGAGAAAAATAAAGATTCAATCTCTCTCCACGGAAAAATTCTTTTCTCTCTCTCTCTCTTTTTTTTTCAAATATTCAATTTTTCATCGCGAACAAATATGAGTGGCGGATGAAGAAAAATTGTTTTTCGAAAAACAATATCCAGTTAATCTTTTCTACGCCGTGAGAAAGTTTCTATTTCTTACGTTGCCCGCGTTCCCAATGGATAGCCTCGTTGATTCTATTTCGTACAATCGATTTTCATTCAGCTGCAGTTGCTCAGGGGCCTCGGTAATTAATTCGCTGAATCTGGCGGCCACTTGCTTCCATTTTACCAGATCAGCCGGCTGAAATAGCAAAGTGAGATCGATCAGTCGTGTCGAAATCTTCATTCATGTGTTTCGTGATTCCTCTTTACCCGTTTCGAACATCTGGATTCGAAAGTTGAATCGACGAAACATTTAAAAAAAAAAAAATGTTTTTATAATAATAGAAATGAAAACGTAAAAGATCCTTGAATGAATTCACTTTTTACATACAAAGAACAATAAGCAGCATATAAACTGCAAACTTATTAATTGAATTTGTTATGAAAGATCAATTGAATTGATTTTGTGATTCATAAGAATGTTTAAATTATTATATTTATTAAACATGGAGATTATTTGATCATATGAGAAATAAAGTAGAAACATCCTTTGCCTTTGTGAAGAAAATTGTACAATTTAAAAAAAAGTAGAAATGATAGAATAACGTTTTTGTCATACGAAACTTTTCGTTTTCCAGAAGCTTCGAGTATATAGATGCATATGATAACTTTTTCTACGCGAATAAAGAGGTCGAATGGCTCAAAAAACTTTACACATTTTCAAAGTTCTAAAGTAATTGGTATGCTAATGTTCATTCAGTTCTCTTATCAGAAAGTACCTCGCCTTTTTTCACTACATCCTCAGTTCAACAAGAACAAAGTTTCCTTTTTAATACAATACAATAGCATCAGGTTGCTTGTTATTCCTACATCCTCTTACTCTAGATTATAAGTAACAAACTGGCGGCACGTGAATCGAATATCAAAGCTTCTAATAACAAGCAAGTTCTTCGCAATCAAACGAAATTGAATGATAAAAATTTAACATACAACTTTCTACCAGTTTTCTCAATGGCATAATTCAGACTAATTTTTACTGTTCGAAATTTCAACTTTCAATAACAATACATCTTATTTCCTTAAAACAATTGTACTTTTATGAATATAAAAAACATAAGACGATCAAATTGCCACGAAACAATTATCAAAAATGAATTATCGGAATTCTTGTTAGTTGGTCAATAGAAACCATCATCCAGATCTCCTTTCAATCAACAAAGCGTTTGTGATATTGGTTATCGATATATATTCCTATATACCAAGCAATGTATATATAAAGCAACAAGCCTTTGATCCCAGATGTATTTGACGTCACTACAGCTATTGGCTTCTTTGTGAATTGCTGTGGCACGTACTGGCAACATCGGGTTCCGCTTCCCGACACGTTGTGCACATCTCTTATGTCACAACTCGTAAAATGATCGTTGTAAACAAGCACGAGCAAGCTAAGGTGCGAATATTTGAAAGAATTGCTCTTGAAACTATTTCTTTTTAAACTATCTTATGATAAGTAATTTTCACTGTTAATATAGAATCTTTTTGCAAAAAATGACTCTTAAAAATCGTTTTAAATGTATTCACACCTTTACAAGAATTTATTTATAATGTTTGCTTGGCTATGATGTTATATCAAAAGAATTTGATCTCAAAGTCAGAGTGCATTTGGATTCTCTCTCTCAATTTAACACTGTATTTATACGAATATGATACTTCTCTAACTTAACAAATAGTTTGCTCTAATGCAGGTACATTAAAGCTTAGTCATAATATGATGGAAGTTGAGATGAAAGTTGTAATAACGTTTATCATGGCATAATAATAGAATTCTTGATGAAAGACGAGTAAATTAAAATACATTAATATGTTAAACTATCGATCTAGATATTTGAAAAGAAAAAAAAATTTCAATTATATGTTACTCACTTATATGTTTTAAATTCTAAACTTTAATTGATTTTATAACCTCACTATATATCATTTTCACTGAGAATATAATTACGGAATTGTTGAATCTCGTGTTTACCCTCTTACGTTAACGTAGGATCCTGTTTGATCATTAAAATTAAGTTGCGTTGGCATGGTTAGCACGATGTACAGCTGAAAGAGAAGACTATTATATTACGAAATGGCGTAAAAAGATATTATCTTTTGTCGTTGACGGATAGTATAATGTGAACTTGCCTTTAGGTATCATATTTTTGTCTATTATAATACAATTTGGACGTTATATACCATTACGACACCAATACGACAATATTTCAACCATGAATCCAAATTTATATTATTTCGACGATCCTTGGAAGCAGAAACGAACGAGAGTTTGATCTCTAGTGTGGCAATTTTATTTCATATTCGGTTCGGGTCTGGGATAGTTTACCGTTAAAGTGAAGAAGACTGGAAGCAGTGCAATCGGAAGCGGTGAACCACGAAGCTCTGATCTCTCGGATGGAGGACCAGAAAGGGTCAAGTGTCTCAGTAAATCAAGAAGACCAGCCAATAGCTCTCCATGACGACCACCAACATCCTGTCGTATCAATCCTAGGGCGTCTCTGGCGATCATGTGGGCGGTCACTCCGGGATTATCAGCTGGTTATCACGTAAAAATGATTTATTTAGTTGTATTGATTCTTTTTATCTCAAAGATATATATTGATTCATTAAAAAAGATTAAAGATTTATAACAGAATGATGGATTTTGTATACGTTATTTAAAGAATGATAGATATATTGGTTTAATTATAATTTAATTATTAAGAGGAATAGAATTTCTATTGTTATATTTGAAGAAATTAATTCTGGATATAGTAACTTTTTAGTGAAAAATTTTTCAATGAATACTTCAATATATAATTTTTTTTTTACTTTATAGAAAATACCTTATAGAAAATAATTCGATGTTTCTTTTCTATATAAAATCATAGTCGAGATATTATCCATTTTATTAATTAGCATATTGCTTTCTTCCCTTATAATACATATGTGTGGTGTACTTTTATTATCAATTTAATAGAAAACATCGTATAATTATAACGAATTAATTGACAGTTTTTTAACAGAGAGAAAAATTCTGCTCTATAATTGAAAAAATAAAATATATTTCTTCCAAGTTGCGAAAATTTTAATAAATTACTGAAAAAGGACCATTTGTCGATCTTTATTTATCTTCCCAGTAACAAGCGTCGATTTTAATTAGAGTCGCGTTTTTTTTTTAAGCGTTAGGATATCGTGTCGAAATCTGTCAAGTTCGTTATTTGAAACGTGTCAAGAGGAGGGGGAATACGAGTGTACACTGTTTGCAATTTTGAGGTTAGGTAACGCGCGGAGAATTATTACTTAAGCGGACTCGTTAATTTTATCGACGATGCTATCCTTTCGCCAAATTGCACACGGATACGCTACGTGTGCGAAAATTTATTACATTGTTCATAATGCAAACGATTCTCGAATTGTTCTAGTCGCATGGTCGAACTGGCCGATATTAATACAACGGAAGTGAAGAGAAACAAGAAAATTTAGTTTATTAAATTTACGTCTACTATGTGATATGATATAATATGATATCGTAAAAGGATACATATTCATTCGTATGTATCTGTAACAGTGATTCTCAATCTATGAAATTAATATAATATTAAATTGCGTCAAAATTTTTAATAGGTTATATGATTACGATTTAGAAGAAAAATTCTATTTGCTCGACTTGATAAGTTAATTATTTATTGCACAAATAAATTAGAAGAAAAGATAGAGCAGCCTCTCGATTTGAATTACGATATTAAATATTTGCAATTTGAATTTTTAAGGAGTTCTAAGAGATTTAAAAAGAAAAGAATTCCATTTATAGATCACATTTATGCAAATATTTTCTTATAAAGTTCTAAATGAGAATAATGGTTTGAGAATTATTTTAGGAACTTTTTAAGGAGGAAAAATAAAGAAAATTCTTGGTTACCCAGAAGAAGCTGCTGGACGTGCTGGGGCATGACGGGTTTCTTTAAATGACATAAGAAAAGTTGTAACGCTGCTGCGCATTCCAAAGCCGCGTCATTGTTCCCTAAATGAGGTTTCTCTCCTTTCTTCAAAGAATTTAAGATCCTTCTTCTGAGATCACGACGGCCTGCACGTCGGAATAAACCTTCCTCTCTGGCATCTTGAAATCGCGAAAATAGTTTTTTGAATTTTTTAATTAAAATAATTAATCGATGGGGCAAGAAAGTGAAAGAAAGAAAATTTATATAACGGTGTTAATTTATAAATATGAATGAAGAAATGTATATTGCGATTCGTATTTCTTACGTTCTTTCAGGAAGTTGATGATCTGCTTCACCGTCTGCAACGATTTTTTCGATATTATGTCATCGTCTGTGTCCTGTCTGCGAAGAAATATTCGGTGGATGAGCTTTCGTAGCGCCATCTACGATGGTGAACGATACTTAAAGAAAGTAACTGGATATAAAATCGTTAAAGGTGTAATCGAAAAGGAATTCTCGAAAGTTTTAATAAAATGTTTTAAATTTATATGGTATAATGAATTTTAATTAAGCTTTCCTTATAGAATATTAATCGAAATTTTGAAAGAAAATAAAACAGTTTCCGGCCATTAAAAATTGCGCTCTTTTATTTAATCTTTATAACGTATTAAGGTTATTGCTAATAACCTCCCTTTATAATTTCACGTCTTAAACTGCTTATAGTGTTAATTAAACATCATGTCGAGAGCAAAAACATGAAAATATTGTACCTAATTTATATTCATTTTCCCTCAGCTCGAACTTAATTAAACCTAGAATTAAAATTAAACTTTTTAATAAGTCCAGCTTATTATTAGTTGTACAAACTTGTGTCAGTATTGTTTCTTAATTCTGAGAGCGAGATTTAATACTTGTAAGTAAAAAAAAAAAAAAAAAAAAAAATTGAAGAATTACTAAAATAAAATTATCG